CACCATCGATGCGGCATGGTCCTAAGCTGGATCTATTGTGTGCGTTCGTGGGCGTCCAACAATTTTTCTCCGACCTCCGCATCATTGACTTTTTACGTCTTTCATCCTGTGTTTTTTTTGCGCTTCTTTTTTTATTTTTCGACGAGCTCTAGCAGCTACCTTTTTTTTATTCCCCTCATTTTCAATTCTAACCGAATAAAAACTCTCCGGTATTAGTCGACTGAAGGGGTTTGTTCATTTTTTATTATTATCCTTTTGATTCTACGACCATTACATTATTTTTTTGTAATTGCATTCTTCACGTGTGGAGATTGCGATTTCCCTCCGGATTCTCAAACTCCTTTTTAAACGAAATTCTGCGTTTTGTGAAGAAGCAGCCTCTAACGGTAACCTGCTTCGTCAATACGGAGGAACTAGAAACTCGGTTAGTTTGGATATCACCACCCCCCCCCCCCCGCTTCTTCTTCTGTTCTTCAAGCCTTGCTTTCGGAGGGGGGATGTGGATACTATTTTGTTCTCCCCTCTTTTTTTTTGCTCCGAGATACATTATCGACGGTCTGCCACAGGCGGATAGCCGCTTAGCTCGCTTCGTTCTGGGCGGCCGGTGGTGCTTGATCGATTTGCGTCTCGCGAGAGGGTTGGGGTCTTGAAATAGTGTTGGTGGCTAATAATTCCCACATTAGTTCCTCTGCACGAGACTCCGATCCACGCTCTGTACGAATCCGCTACATTCATTTTCTTTAGTCACGATCTTGTTCCCCTCCAAAAAAAAACAAAAACAAAAAAACCATTTCTGCCCATTACACCCGGTCTCCCCTGAGACTACTCGGAATTCATCATACGTTGTGATAGATTAATATCACCGATAGTAATGGCTACCACTATTGGTCCTTCGCAAACTCGCGAACCATCAATCACCAGACTGGAGTGCGATGTTAACCCGAATTTCACATTCCCTGCACTACCACATGCGAGGTCACAATCGTTACGTCCTGGCGCCCCACCCTCATTTCCGGTGTTCCCCCCACGAAGAGGATCTGTTCCCTTGAATGATGTTGCGGGATTAGCCTCTGCCACCCTCACAGCTCCAAGACCAAAATCTAGTTCCTCAAATTCGCTGCTTTTAAATGGCTCAAGATCAGCGGGTGCGGTTTCCTTTGAAGCGGGTGGACTTCCGAGCCCTATTTCGCCCGGACAGCCCGATGTAGGAAGTACCAGTGGATTAGTGGCGCCGCATTATGCTGGGGGGATCAAACCTGGAGCTAGAGTACTTGGGGTTGGAATTACGCCGACTGTTTTGAACGCAAGTTTGAGCACCAGAGTTAAAGTTGGTCCAGTTCCGGAGGGAAAGGCACATCATCGTGGGCTCGGTGATTTACTTGGAGGTCCGATTACGTTGGAACCGAAGAAAGAGGATATTACCTCAGGTATTGCTGAAAAAGTTGCACCAAAACGCGCACCACCGCCGCCGGGGGCTACTCGTAGAGGTCATGCCCATCGCAGGTCCGGGGCCATCTCTAGTGGGGATGTTTGGAGTCTTTTGAGTCAGAGTGCACCAAACCTAGCTTTGGCGTGCACTGTTGAGAGCGGTGATCATGGCGCTACTTCTGAGAAGACAGAGGCATCTCCGCCTAAGCCAATCGCTAGTGCGGGAAGCAGTCCTGTACTCAGTTGGAGTGCTCCTGTTAGTCCGGGATTTAATGGTATATCTCGACTTCGGGGATTTTATTGGGATTTTCCTAACAATATTCTAGGTTCCTCATCGCTCCCATCGCCAACGAGTCCTTTGATGGATTATGAAAGCGCGGCTGATAAGAAGAACCGGGTTCACTTCATTGACCGTGTAGAAATTATTCCCAGGCCAATGTCAGCAGGAACGGAGACTAGCAGTTTGGCAACTGTTCGGGGCCATGCGGGCACAGACAGTATTAACAGCATTGCCAGTGTTCTTCCGTTACCCGTTCCCTCACCCACAATTGAGTCTGCACCCCCGCCAAGACGTGGCCGTACCAGAAGCAATTCCCAAACCATGACACCACCTACATCTGCCTTAAGGGCGATATCGGACCGACCCTCAACCGCAGGGGCCATCTTGCTAACCCCACCAAATATTGTGATAGATGATAGTAAGGCAAGTGAAGTGATTGTTCCTTCACTTAAGAGGCCAGCCACCGCATCACCCTCGCTTAGCAGTGCTCCTGGAAGCGCCAACAACTCCCCCACCAAGCGTTCACCGTCCAAGAAGATGCATAAGAAGGCTCTCAGTGACTCTCCCTTGGCCGCAACCGGATCCTTCTCCGACAATCGTGACATTTCTTCTATCGGTGCGAGCGACGAGGTGCCAGCTCCTTCTGAAGAAATGCCTTCAGAATCGACATATGAGAAGCGGAAGCAGAAGAAGAAGAAGAGTAAGAAGCAGATCAAGAACTGGGCTGGAACAATTCTGGGTAAGGGTCGTGGGCTCCGTCACTCGAAGCGGCAACTTAGAGCTCTCCCAAGGAGGTCACCAACGCCACCACTGCCAAGGCCAGAGCATCAATTGGGTGACAATGAATGGATTTCAGCTGCGTGGAATGAGAGCTATGTTCTCATGCCGGTTGATGATTCACTAGGGGCGAACTCCAGCTCGGAGAACATTGCCATGGACACTGGAGTTGAGAGTCCTATCATTGACTTGGATGCTGCTTTGGGCCCTTTCAAAACTCCCACCGGACCTAGTGCTGGCTTTGCCGCTGCTAGGCGGAGAAGAATGCATTCTGCGGTTGGATTGAAGGGAAATGGGTACTTTCATAGGCGTAGCGAGAGTATGCCGGAAATGCAACTTTTCTCTCTCTCGGAACATGAGGGTGATGGTCATATGGCCGATGTGTTCGAGGAGGATGAAGAAGAGGATAGTGAGGAGAGCTCTGAGAGTGAGGATGATGATGAGGAAGCCAAGATGGACGGTGGAGAGGGTCTTGGAATTGGTATCAAGGTTGTTGATGGCGATGGGGCGAACTGGCAGGAGGATGTAGTGATGGAATGGGGATCTGATGATTTGGGACGTCCAACATCGAGGAGGGGAAGTGGAGGAGATCGTGATCTGGGCTGGAAGAGTGAGAGCAGTCTACTTTCAGCCAACACTTCTCTTAACCCGGAGAGCAGCACGACATCAATTAACTCCATCAACTGTCCCCAAGACATTGAAGTCGGATCGTCCTCTCCATTAACCCTTTCGGGCCGCAAGGGCGCGCCAGCGGACATCATCACCCCTCAATCGTCTAGCTCAACTGTCACACTTCCAGCGCACTTCCAACCACCTACATACCCCCAATCCCTCGACTCACCGTCAACCTTCGTCACTGCCGCCTCAAACCCAAATACCCCCCTCCAACTCGACTTTCCCGGGGATGAATACCCTGACTCGGCCTCCAGCTTCGGCCCATACTCAGACTTCCTCGGCGAGCCCGGCCCGGAGATGCGCATGAGTGTTGACGATATACCTAGCCTAACCTCCTCATCTAGCACTATGACGATTGGGGGACTGTACGCCAATATGCCATCGACACCCATGAACGAGCCTAAGGAGAAGGAACCATCCCATAAGAAGGAGAAGTCAAAGCGGTGGAGCAAAGTATGGACCTTCTGGAAGTTGAAGTAAAAAGCGTATTTGACTTGTTTGTTTATGTCTCTCTATCTTGCTCTGTTTGGCTTTGGTTTAGCTTCATCTAGCTCTGTCTGTCTGTCCCTTGTTAATGTGTTCGGGATTCGCGTTATTCACCTATCTACCTACCCATCTTTCCATCCTATCGTATCTTATAGTTGGTGCGGAAATGTACATTTTTTCTTCTTTCATCAGCTCTTTTTTTCTTTTCTTTTTTCTCCTACAAAAATGTTCACTTTTATCTATCTGCCGGGTTAAGGTGGGGTTTTTTTTGTTCCTCTCTTGTGCGTGTTTTTTTTTTTTTTTTGCTATCGATTGACAGCGGGGATTCGAAAATCTGTTTTATATTCTTTTCCTTTTTCTTTGTACTTCTCTTTCCCGAGTGTGAACCAGTGAGAGTGCTGTGGATGGGGGGGATAAAAGCAAAGAAAAAGAAAAGAAGAAACAAATGCAACGTATTGTAGAATCTAACACTCGGTTTGCTGGTGCTGTTGATGGTGTTGTGAAAAGAAAAAGGAAAAACAATCACGGAGTCTGTACCGGTAACTCTTTCTATACCTGTCTCGGCTATCGTTTGTTCTTTCATTCCTCTACGTCGCCTGGGAAGATTACGCTCTTTGAAGGTTTGTTTTTCTATTCTCTTTTTGTCTCTAATTATTTAAAGACTTATTTCTTTTCCCGTCTGGGGCGGTTCTGGACGGTCTATCATAGGATGATCGGAAGGGAGACTGGGTAGGGTTGTCTGAAATATTTCTCTTCATAGGTTAGGTTGGGTGGGTTTGGCTTTTAGGTTAGGAATTGGATTGGACTAGGGTTGATTAATTTTAATTTCTTATTTTATCATAATAATATTATGATAATTATCATAACTTGGAAGATGTGTTGGGTTGTGTTTGAGCCACTGATGAGCACGAGGTATCACTCGACGGTAGGTACGGTTTGGACCCAGGTTTTGCTATGATATGATGACATAGAGTGAGATGTTGTGTCATACTGTGGCTTGTGGTATGCGTGCTGTGATAAGACGTTTATGGTATCATATAACTGCTCTGAGGGGGGGGTGTTTGGAAAATGCGATTTCTGTTTCAAATCACAGGTTTAAACCCTCAAACAAGGTTTTCCTCTCCTCTCTGAAATCACGATTTGGTTTTGGTTCCGGGGCTCCGTTCGGCATGGAGTTCTATTCCCTCTTGAAAAGGGGTTACGATAATATTATTGAACGATCCATCGCGTGGGGCGAACCGGACCCGTTACGGGGTGGTGTGATATCATACTATATGATATTACGGAACCCGACTGTAGACCATACAATACGCCTGTAATGGACGCTTCTGCTATTATAGAAAGTTACGTAGAATCATGCTGCGAGCTTGAGGTCGACCATGTGGTTGGTTGGGGGGGGAGGGGTGAAGTGTTGTCACATGAGATCACTCGTGTCAATTGCTAGCTGTGCTATATCATACCAATATCTTCGTCACAACGGGGTGGTCATGAAGGAAGGTATTGGCATGGTTGCTCATCTTGTAGATTTGTTAGTGCGTGGGCGACCTAACTTTGTTGGGATTGTATGATACGAACCTTGGAGATTCTTCCCTGCGTATAACGTGGTACGTCCAGAAAAGGGAGTACTTAAATCCGTTTCTTGAATGCGCAATTATCCCCCCCCCCCCACCATACTCTCTCCAAGCCATTAGGAACCGCCTGCGCGGCCTTCAACCCCTTCATCTCCTACAGGGAATAGAACGCCTATGATACAAACCCTCGGCGTTACCTGGGGATCTTCCTCCAGACGCCCCAACTCAGCGGACTTTGGAAAACGATCCGAGATCCTCCTCCTCTTCGCCTGGCGAATAGATATTTTTTTTTCCCCATTTTTGCATTGGGCAGATCTCCATGAGTGGATGGGGATTCGTGCGGATTAATGTTGGGGTTAGAGGCCTCTTGGGTGGAGTCCTATGTGATGGTCTTGGATACGGTTACCTTTCGCTTTTTGGTCTTCCCGGTGAGAGATGGGTAGTGTTTTTTTTTTTTTTTTTTTTTGCGTTCTTTCTCTCTTTGTGGTGGTGGTGTTGTACTCCTGGTTGTATTCGTTAGACTCGCCTAACCCTTTTCCCTTTTGTGGGAAATATGATGGGGATAATTGTTCTGTATCATATATGGCAGTATCAAGGCTTAACTTTTTGTGTGGTGATGTATAAGCGAGTGATAATATGTGAGTGAATTACAAAGAGGCTGTCCCGGCAGTTTCTCTCGTTTTTTTTATGGAATCGGGCTTATTGGATAAGGAATTTTCGGTGACATTTACTGCTTCCTCTGAGGGTACTATACTGTCTACCCTTCACTTATGGTCAGGGCATAACAGGAAGGAGAGCGATGACTGAGGGGGGGGGGGGTAGGTAAATTATGAATACTGCGCGGGCCACCATAAGGCATCGCTCACATGACGTTTGTGACTAATATTCCAAGCAACCAGACCTCTCTTTCTTCCTTCCTTCTTCCACTATATCGGGATGCAGCCTGCTGGGCGAAATGTGATCGGTCGCTTGGGCTACCATGAAAACGGAGGAGACGTCCAATAGGAAACCACGCATGCACCCCAATTGCATACATAAAGAGAAGGATACAGGAGAGTAGCGACAGGTAGTGTAGAGTCAGCACTGCTCGAGTACGGGGCATGTATGGTGGGAGAGGCAAGAGTTATGGGGGAACACGAAGCGAGCACTGCTCAGCCGGCTGAGGATGGGACACATTGGGTATGGGTATTACCTCCACAAGATCGGGAAATGTGCAACACCTGCCGGCCTTCGTTGGTACCCGAGCCGAGCGGTCAGACGTGCGTCGCTGGATTGCAGTCTTATGTCAGTGAAGCGGGAAAAAAAGCAAAAAAAAAAACTTCAGATGAGGGCACTATCAATTCCGAAACTTTTGCGGACTCAAAGGAGGAAGGGTACTTCGGTAAAGCTTTGGCAGGCTTTTCTTGAGCTGAGGAATGATCAGGGGCCGGAGGAGGATAGGGCACGGGCATGCAGGAGACTTTGGGGAACTCAATATCGGAATAGGTATAGACCTGTGCAGCCTCCAAGATTTGCGGGGAGAGAATGATACTCTAGGAGTTGGGTAGGGGGTAGAACGGGTGCTGCAGTTTAGCCGAAAGGATAGTATAGAGATGCGCCATAGCCGTTTGGTTGTGCGTATAAATGGATAATAATAATAATAATAATAATAGTAGTAGTAATAGAAGTGAGACAGCCAAAGAACTAAACGGTGGGAGTGGGAAGGACGTACCCGAATCGGGGGAAACTAAACACAAGGAATGATGAACTAGGTAACAGACGGAGGTGCTCACGAAGGACAGACAAGGAGATTACACATCTCTCTCAACAGCTACCGAACCGAGTCAATCACCGTGAGCTCAAACAGACTCCAGAAAAATGACTTTCCGGGCTCAGCCGAACCACCAAGAAAGCAAACGAGTGATCGGCCATGCTAAACAACTTGGAGCAATCCTGCAGCGTCTGCCCTAAACCCTATGTTCTGTCTCAAATGGCCGAGGGCGGAGAAACAACAATGAACCAAAGTCCCCGATACCCAATGCCAAAGGGTGAGACTGAGATGAAAAGCGAGATAAATGCCGGATGCTTAAAAGTACAGGGTATGAAGAGATACCTTAAAACTGTATATTATAGGGATTCTGTAAAATAACACGAAATCTCCCAGCAAACGGGGTCCGATTCGTAGTTACCTACGGGATTATCCTCACCTACTGGACTTTGCAAGAAGAACTTAGTGCTTACTTCTTCCCGTTTCTAGATCTGAGGTAAAATATCGGTACCGATAAAATAAAGCAGCCCCCTTGAGGTGTAGTATAATAATTGCTTTATTGGAATCTTGTTACTAACGTATGGCAAAAAAAAACAAAAACAAACAAACAAAGAATAAAGGAAACACCGGCATGATATCTTAGGAAATTGAGCTAGAACCTCTCTCCCAAAGGCACACCCATACAATGCCAAAAAAAAAAAGCTCGAATAGATGAAAGAAGTCTAGATCGACTCACGCGCGCTGGGCCCGAAGGCCATCTTAGGCCTGGCACTTCCCCAACTGGTGCACAACCTCCCAATAAAACCTCGTACCTTCAGCCAATTTTTCCTTTCTCCAATCGTCCTCCCATCGCGCATCTCCGGCCGCCTTCTCCCATCCGAGACTTGCCTCATGCTTGCTCCCTAGGTCACCGCTCAAGCAAAGCTTCATAACATTTGCATACATGATCCCGACTTTGGGCTTGAGCTTGTCGGTCTCGGTAATACATCTATCTAGAAACTCCCTTCCCTGCCCGGGACCAAAAGCCCGCAGACGCTTCCACAACCCGATCTCTAGCAGGACGAGGCCAAGGCCAAAGATGTCGTCGGAGGCCGTGAAGCGGCGAGGGTTTGCCCTTTGTAGGTCTGGGTGACGGTAGATTGCGTTCTCAGCGTTATTCCCCGTCGACCGTTCGACACTCTGCGCGTTGGGGTTGTCAGGGCGGGCGTAGTCGAACCCGACGATGTATGGGCTTCCGTATAACGGAACATTGTTCACCGCGCAGTGGAAAAACACGATATTGGAGCTGCGGATGGACTTGTGCACCCAGCCGGAGGAATGGAATAGTAGCAGGCTCTTGGCGAGGTACTCTGCTAGGCGAAATCTCTCTCCTAGGCTGGGGGTGCTGGTCTCCAGGAGTTGGTAGAGTGATAGGGGGAGGTATTTCTGGATCCCTTTGGGAAGAACGTTCACGTAGCCGTACCGGAACTTGGCAGCATCGTCGAAGTATCCCAGACACGGTAGGATATTCCAGTTCGCTGGCCGTCCGGTGGACTCGTGCAGTTGTCTTGCTAGGTTATCAGCCCGTTGTGAGATGACCTCAATTTGTCTGCCGGACACATCTAGCGGGTAGGGTTTCCACTCTACCATTACCATATCCGCTCCATATAGGGCTAGTGATCGTTCGCGGGAGCCCCGTCGAGGGATAAAATCCAAGTCGTTTCTGCTGATGAGCAAGTGTTGTGACGGCCGGAAGGTGAGTACTTGTGCGGCGGCACGGTCAAGGAGGATGTTTTCTCGACGAAATTGCACTATTCTTCCAGCTTCCTCTTGTCCGAGATCCTTTAGAGCTTTTGCTACGATTCCCAGCTCCTCCGGATCGTCGCTTCCGGAAACGAGTGTTGCGGTGGACCAGTCTATACTCTTTTCCCCGCCCCTCGGGAGCAGTAACTCTAGAGTGTCGTTGAAACCTTTCAGTTCTATGATCAGCCGCTCGATCCTGGATTTATCTCGAATTCCCCATAGACATTTCGCCAGTAGAGAATTCCTCCTGTTAATTCTAACAACATATTCATCGTGCTGACCCCGCTCAAATGTCAACCTTTCCGCCAAACCCCCGCCTAGGCCTCTCCGAAATTCCTCACTATCAAGGTCATTCCTCCTCAGACCAT